AGTGTTGCGACGCCTAGCGTTGTTCGTTCGCTGGATCAGAATGGGGACCATTTGTTCAAATATGACGTCATTACCCAGTTTGGTTACCAGAATGACGAGTTGTTGCGTAAAATGATGGACAGTGACGTCATTTCTGTTGGTTTCATCCGAAATCCTCTGGCACAATATGTCTCATCTTTGCATTATCACAGAGGCAAGATCCAGTCCCAGTTGCAGTCAAATAATTTTCTAAAAGAATTCATGACAAGATATCAAATATTGAAAACTGTGCAGCAACTGCCACCTGGATTGAAACGAAACAACATTGCCAATGAATTTGGATTTCGCGAAGAAGATTCTGATAATGAGATAGCAATTCAAGAGTTTATGGAACGAGTAGTAAATATGTTTGATATCGTAATTTTAGTGGAATATTTTGACGAAAGTTTAGTTTTAATGAAGCGAATGCTTTGCTGGGATTTTCAAGACATAGTATACGAAAGTAGACTGACATCACAGTATTCATACGACCATTTAATCGACAATGAACTCTTGGAAATGCACAGAAACTGGAGTTCATTGAACTATAAACTGTATGATTATTTCCAGCAAAGATTTGTCCAGCAAGTGCAGGCACAAGGCAAAGACTTTTTTGAAGAGGTAAAAATGTTTAAGAAAACAAACGAAGAACTGTCCACATACTGCAAACAATGTTCCTACACTTTACTGCCCCACCCTGCTACTAAGCCTGCGTTCCATGCGGATGCCACCCCCTGGTCCATGGAGATGACTGTTACCTGTCCTTTCTGCTGGATTATGAAAAATGCAAGAAAGGTGTTTCAAGGTTGACATTTTTTATGCTTTAATGCTTTTGAGGATGATAAACGTGAACGCTAAAACATCACTTGTCGCCAAATCTAAAAGCCTTGATTTTTCTATTTCTTATCTTTTTATAAACACTTTGGATGCATACATTTGGATTCACGAGAGATTTGATTCCAATATAAAAAATAAACAGTTAAGTACCACCGGCCAGTATCTTTTAAATTCCGTATATCGTCTATGAACGGGGTTATTATATACATAAGTGCAGTTACTATCACGTTTACAGTGCGTGTCATATTATTGCCGCTCAGCAGTGATTGTAAGGATAAATGGAAACAATGAATGGACTTTCCTGGGGCCAACGATAGAGACCAATTATTAGTCGATTTGGCTTTAGCTGAAGGAAACATTGCGGAACTTGTATTTAAATAACGCCTAAAACTACCCTTTTTGGGCAATAAAAAAAATAAAACGTCTAATACTGGACATCGTTGATAACGCATCTTCGCAAGCCCAGTATTATATTTGTTTTTGTTTTTTTTTTTCATATGTGATATTGATCACTCTAGCGGATGAGCCAGAACACCAAATCTACTGATATTTTCCAAAAATGCAGAATTATCGTCCTTGGAAACAGCAACTGTTTTCTAGAAAAAAGAATAAAAAGAATAGCTCCCACTATAAAAATCTACGTTTTGTCCATTTGTGGAAGGTAAACGTAAATCCGAAAAAGAAATAGTAACATCAACAAGGGTAGATGAACGATAGCTACTCTCTTTGCTTAGAAAGCATTATGATAACTTTTATGTCGCAAAACCTTTGATATAGAAGGCTGTCGCAATGACAACCAAACACAACTAAATACAGTTGTATAAGCTTTGTAACAAAGCTGTGAGGAACACGTGCATGCTTCATTCTAATCACTGGTTGTCAGGAACCACAGTATAGAAAATAGTGTAATTAGTACTTTTAAAACTCATACATGATGTTGTATTAACTCAATCAGAGGAAGCCATTGTTTGATAAAATTCATACATTTGAAGCCAAGTTGTATAAGTAGCTTCAGATAATACTTCACACCTTGCAGTTCAAATTTTAATGTCCTTTGTTTCAAAGCTAGTAATCTGCTAGACCTCGATTACAGGGTGTTGTTAGGAGTGCCCACCAGGAGTGGGTGGACTTGTGTATGAAGTAACCAATCAGTTTTTAAGTTATGTGATTGACAATTTAGTTGATAAAGTTTGGTATAAAAATCTGTAAACTTAAATCTAGATGGGAGAGAATATATAGAGAAGTGAGTGCATAATGTGGAGAGAGGAGGAGAGAGAAGTGATACTTGTATCATGTAACTTTTAGCTTAGCAAAATATATTCTGTTGAAGTTACAACATGGAGTCGCTTCATTCTTTTCCGTGTGCAGGATTTAAGACAAGGAACCTGGGATCGAATCTCTGTAGGAGTATTACAGATAGCGTTATCCAAAGATGGTGGCCCATTGTAGCCAAACCCCTAGGGTTTTATCATAAAAAGTTATTTAATGTTATGTGGGGGGGGGGGGGGGGGGGGGGGGCGGGGCGGGATGGTCTAAAGGGGGTTCCCCACATGGTGTGTGCTGTAGCAAGTCAAATTATGTTCTGTACATTTCAAGGGTGACAATTCCCCGTCTCATTGTCCTTCATGGAGATTAAAAGGTTGTGTAGAAGGACTTGTTTTTTCTCCTTGAAATTGCTCGTGAAATTGTCAACAAGATCAACGGGCCTAATGAGCTGGTTGCGTGATGTAGTTGGGCCGTACTGGAATCACAGATGTAATATTCTTTTAAAATATTCCACCATTTTAGCGAGAATGTAAATAAATAATGACAGCAGAGAATGGATAGGAAAGCACATCACTGCTCTACGTCAGTTGTATTTATATTAGATATTATTCTGTGTAACAGCTGTGAATATACACAATATCTTATTATCCATCCACTCTGTGCTTGTGGCATTTTTGTTTTTTTTATTTATGAAAAACTATCAGTGATATTTCAAAGTATATGACACCCTACACGGGGTGATTTACATGAACTCTAACGACCAATGGCTGGGAAGTCTTACAGGCCAATTCTTGATGGCCACCATCAGCTGTTTATACTCATCATCACCTTAGCGATGGTTTTACTCACTGTGATCTATGTAATAACCACCACAAGCAGTAAAACTTTATCACCTCCTGCTGCGTACCATAGGACATGGGGGAAAACAGCTGCGAAGACGAGCGCTATCTTGACAAGGTACATAATGTTTATAACATGGTACTGGTGTGTTAAACATGTGTAAGCAGAGAAGTAGGCCTATCATTGGAAAGCATAAGCTGACATTATGTTAGGTATGCTATTCGCTTCTGGAAATGTCCCAAATTGATATTTTTCACGTAGGCCATTTTAGTCTATATGCACTCTTGGTCAAATAAGTTGTCTCACCTTAGTGCTATGTGCTTTTGTTTGCAAATATTGCGTGACAGCTGTTAACTGAAAAAGAGTTTTTAGTCGCTATAACAAATTTAAACGTACACATAAGAGGATTTTGCGCCAGAATTCATATTTGACGAATCATCCCGGGGTAAACGGGACATTTCCGCAATTGACACTCTACTTACCTAGTAAAATTTTGGGGAAAAAAGCAATTAATAATAACCCACGCTTCTGCAATGGGTTGTCAAGTATGGAGGCCATTAACATGCTTGAGCTCTCTAGACTTTAGGATATCGCGAGACTCTCGTTCTGTGACCTGATTAAAACCAGTTCGTGTTGGTGTGAAAAAGCAACATATGGAAGAAGAGGCTTAACTCTGTCAAGATGTCTGACTACCAAGATTTTAAAAGGATGGGTGAATGTGATAT